TTTTTTTTTTCTGCATTACACATTCTACATGCGCTTATGGTGTAGTGTTAGCCCTCACACCCATACACAATGAAGCAATCACATCTGTGTCGACGGCTTCTGTGTGTTTTTCTTCTTTTTGTGGGTCTGGTGCTGCACGGCGTGGAGGCGCGTGCCTCAGCGGAGTCGGAGTTGGTCTGCTCGCCGGTATTGGTCGAGCCGAGTCAATGGTCCTACTGCACTATCAACGTGAGAGATTCACAACAGGAGCCGACAATGGCCTTTGAGGTGGGAGAGTTTTCTGTCGCAGCGTACAGTTCAGTGTCGAATGTCACTGTAAATGTAACGTCGCTGCGGCGCGGCGACGATGTAACAACGGTGACGTTTGCGGTATCCGCCTCAGAGGGCACGAACATCATTGTGAACGCCGTGTATGTGTGGGGCTCTCAGAGCGCTCCGATTCGTAACAGCGGTTTGGTGGTGTCCGTCATGTCGTGGCCTGCGGTGCGCATGGGGCCCATCGTATGCGATGTGCCTGCTGCTGGCCTCGTTCTTCGCAGCACGACGACGTGCAGTGCACGCTTGTACCACGCCAGCAATCGTGAAGCGGTTGTGCATGAGAGTGAAATCGCATTTCTGGAGGAGAAGAACCTGGGAACCTTCTTATTCATTTCTGGTATGCGGAGTCTTGTATTTAACTTCACCGCAGCCAGCTCCCCGACCATAACAGGGGCATCCTTCGCCCTACACGTGACCCTCAATGGGGGAAGTTCCACATACTCGGTGAAGTTCCCCCTGCTCTGCCCCGAGTTGTACCCTGTGGCGTCCTCCTCCTTGCTGGTGTGCTCCAACGAGACATTACCCATCGCTTGTACACTGCGTGCCGCCGATACAGTGGGACCAGTCCGATTGAATCTCGATCACTTCCGATTAGTGATCGATATGCTCGATGAAGAATCAAGCAGCAGCTCAAAATGGGTGGACAAGACGAATGCATTCGATATCTCCTTTCATCCCTTGAAGCAGGCGGAGACCGCAGTACTATCCTGGAAGCTGAAGGTTAATAATATGATCAATTCCGGTCGCCTGCATGTGTACGTCATGCCGCTTTCAGGAGGAGGAGGAGGAGGACAGACTGGTGGGGGTGGCAACACCAACAACAGCAAGTTTCTAGAAGTGCGCGGTTCGCCGTTCACATTTCTCTCTGGTGTCGTACCCAACGCTGCGTATGTGTCACTACGCGGCTGCCGCGTTGCGATGATAAGCAGTGGCAACCGCACGCAGTGTTTTATTGATCTCCAGAACGGTGTCACGGGTGACGTGCGGTACTTCCACCTTGCTAGCACCATTGAAGCCAGCATTGACAACATGCAATACTTGCCAGAAGACCCCGTCTTCCATACACCGGTTGTGTCGTTCGCGTACACCGCACCAGTTGTAGAGCGGCGCACGGAGGACTTTATCACGCTCCTCGTCGGGGGGCAGAGCGCGATTCGGTCGCCGTTCCGCATGAACGTGTTCCCGCTCCGCACAGACACAGGCGGCGACGCTGCCGAGACGCTCGGGGCACACAACGCCGTCATTATTGCCGTGGGGCTCGCCTTCTTTGGGGTCATAATTGGCGGCGGCTCCTTCATTGCGTTGCAGCGCAGCATCCGAATCAACCGCATCCGCAGCGAGCGGGCGCTTCAAAAGGCGAAGATGCAAGAAGAGATGGAGGGGCGCACGGCGGGTGGGCAGATCAGCATCGATGCCGTGCCGCAAGCACAGCGCCACCATGAATCGGAAAGTGACTAAGCCGGGGAGGCAAAGGAGCGAAAGGAGAAAAAAAAGAGGAGGGGGAATGCGTACTTCAATGGGATAGTGAAGCGGTCGGGGTATCCATGGTGAAGCAATCTTTTTTTTGCTAACTTGTTCGGAATTCGACACTTTGAATGCTCTCTTTAACTGGCGATATGTTTTTTTGTTCTTCTTGCATTCCTTCGTCCTTTCTTTTTTTCTCCTTTTTTGCCTTTTGGCGTCTGTGTGTCTTTCTTTCATTGCATGTTTCTCGCATAGCTACAACAAAGAGGGGAAAGCAAGAAGGAAAAGGGCAGTGGGTGGAGAGGTGTGAGGCGGGACAAGGAGGAAAGAATAAATACTCATTGTTACTGCTCCAGCAACACCACTTTAGAGTGGAGGCTCCTCTTGCGTGCTAGAGGAGTGCACACTTGGCAAAAGCCGTGAAGGTGGTCGCTGAATCTTAAAGAAGAAAAAAACAAGGCCCAGCATACAATTGTGTAGTAAATTACAAATTATATACCCAAATCACGTGGATGATCGCAATTTCATCATCTCTTTGTCGACACGCTGTGCTTATCGTGGCGGGTGCATTGTCCGTTCTGGTTCTCACCAGCGGTGTCAATGCAGAAGATAAAATCATCGGTGTGCTGGATGGCACCCACAAGTTGACGGCGGACGACATCCGGGAAGGCTTCAACGAGAGTGATGCGAGCTACATCACGCCGTGTCCCCTCTTTGACGAGTACGAGGACAAATACGTTCTGACAGTCGAGATGGGTGAATTCAGCGACCATCTCATACCACGGCAGGGTGTCACTGTGTGTGACCTCCTTACCAGCACGACGGCAGCGCGGAAGTATTTGTTCGCCCCGCTGGATCCCCGCAAGCCCACATGGGACGGCTACACCGTCCCCATCGTACCCTCCCTCTACGATGAGGCGCTTGGCGGCTCCGCGGAGGGCTACGTTGGTGTTGGCGGCCGCAGCACGCTGTCGTTCTGGGGTGACAACGGCAACAACATCAACCACACCGGCGGGTGCTGTACGCTGGCTCCCGGCCAGCCTGCCACGTGGTACAGGCCATACCGCCTTCTGCTGTCCAAGATGGACACTGCAGCGTATTATCTCGGGTGGGGCGCGAAACCTATCGTTGCGGCCACCAACGGCCCAGTGATATTCGAGGTGAATGTGTGGAACATGCGCAGTGAGCCGTTCAGTGACAGTGTCACGTTCAGCATCACGACGAATGGCAAAACCGCCAATGTCACGAGTCCGACGGGGCGGTACACCCACTACGCCGACGCCCCAACAGCCGATGACACGAAGTACGACATCACGGTTCTTGTTCTCTCCGGCCCTGAGATAACGAATGGCAAGGAGCTGAAGACCGAGGTGGTGGTTGTGGGAGAGCTCCCATGGGATGTGACACCGTCCAATGGCTCTGAAATTCCACAGCTGGTGCACTTTGGTAGCATGGGCACTGCGATTGGACCAGTTGAGAAGGATGCAGCACTAAAAGAGGATTGGTTTGCGTCCACCGTTGTTGGCGGTGAGTCCAATATCCGTCCCGTCGCGGGCCACACCAACATAGCCCAGACTGAGAATCTTCCTCCAGCGAGGTACATTTGGGAAAATGTGACCAGCCCCGACGGCATATTCCAGGCTGAGGTGCCGTGCAAAAGCGTGCAGTATTACGCTCTTGCCGTGTACAGTGCAGTGGCCCAGCGCATCGTGGTGCAGTATGGATATGACACGGACGCTGTGGTGTACTTCGCTGGCAAGCGCTTTTTTCCGCAGTACTTGGATAGCCCACAAAAAGGTTCCTTTTCTGTCGACGTAACGCAGGGCTACCACCAACTTCTTGCCAAGCTGTTGTCCGACGGCACCACAGAGTCGAGTCCCCAGAGTTGCACAACCGTCTCGAAGTTCTGGCTGCGCGTGGTGGGCACGGCAGTGGGATACACTCACGCCGTCACGGCAGATATTCCAGAAGGCGCTTTCGAACTGTGGAGCAACTTTTACACTTCGAGATATCTCCACTTGGGAAATAAGGATGATTATCTTTATGGCGGCCTCGATGAGGAATTCCTCGACATGCATACAGCTGTCCCAAAACCCGGTGACATGTTGTACAACAAGGTCTGGAAAACGATCGCATTCTACGCAGGGAGACTTCCCGTATCGGCACAAAGCCTACCGGAGGGTAAAGAGGCCGCTGTGGTGTATGGTGCTTTCTCCGTCTACAGTGGCTACGAGGCCATGGTACCTGCGAGCTGGTCCTTTATTACTTCAGGAAAGACGGATTTTTTTCTCGATGGTGTTTCTGTGTACAGCCGCGGGAGCGAGGGAGGAAGCTTGAACGA